TGCTTTGACTGCTTAAATATTCAGGTGAGCGATACAGGCCCTCTGAGCCGCTTGTTCCAGGATTTCTATAATTGTGACAATCTTAGTTGTAAATCCAAGCTGCATTCCTTTACTACAGTTCCATGCTGGAGAAGAACCTGCGTCAGTTGATGGAATCTGTGGATGACGTGGCCATGGATGCTAACCGCTACCTCAATTTCCAGAGACAGGCTGCGAAACAGAAGTTACAGAAAAGCCAATACATTCAGAAAAGGGTACGTGTATCTATACATTAAGGCCTAATCCTAGTTATAATTCCTCAGATTCTATAGAGTGTAACTTCATGTTTTCTGTAATTCTTTTCCACATATTTGTGCATGCACATTTCTAGGGCCCGGTTTTGAGATCCAGGTACCCTACAGCTTCCGTCCATCCATCTATCCGTCCTTCTTCAGTTCACTAATATTTAAAAATGAAACAAATTATCGCCTTGACTTCTTCTTGGTGATTATGGGGGATATATATGGTCAGGCACACGGAAGACCCTTTTAAACCAAATTTGTCTTGCATCATTCCTTTGATAACGAAACTCAATATTGTTTAGTATTGGGGAAATTTGGGGCATCTTTTTAACACCCAAGTACAGGTTAACATATTTTAAGCTCTATTTGTATGGAACATCCTTATGTGCTGTCGTTCAGTGTTTTTGAAATGAAGAATGTTTCTCCATTGGGACAGGAGGGTGGAGTCTGGGGAGGAAATAGAGAAAGACATACTATTTTAGCTTTTCCAGTTCCTGTTGGTGAATTTGTGACCGTTGACGCTTCCTCCATGATTTAATTGAAGCATGTGTTACTTTCTCCAAATACTAACAGATTCTAATTGATGTGTTAACCAAAATTTTATTTTTCTTGGCACTTAAAAATTTCATAATTTCTGATAGAAGTCTAATAATGAAGCTTTATAATTGTTGTAACTTGTGTGTTTCATTGACTTGTATTCATCACAAAGTTTAATTACTGTGTAACTTGTTTATCAGGCCTCGGAGAATGCACAGCGAACACAGCACGGTGAGGCGCCACTTCCTGAAGAGGACATCAACAGATTGTTTAAACCTCTTCAGCCCATGGAACGCCTCCACAGCCTCCTTCTGGCGGGGCAGATTGACAACTATTGTGCGCAAGTTGGAGACTTTGCATCACAGAGCTTAGGCAAATTGTTCCTGTCAGAGAGCTTGAAAAATAAGCCGGCAGATAATTAGACATTGAATATTGTCACCTACGAATAACTTTCTACTCTGGAGAAAGGATAATCTTAAACACATTGATAAGACTTTTCAACATCTGACCTTATAATGCCGTCGCCATTTTATACGCTCGATATTTCAATACAGAATGTAAAAGCTGCGAGATGGAAAATAAATTATTTCCAAATGAAAGACTCCTGTATTATCTTAATGTATTGGTAAACTGATGTCACCGCATACCGTTGCTAATATTACACTAGTAAAGTAGAGCTACATGTACTAAAACTAAGATGTCGCCGTCATGTCTCGCAAAGAAACGTTATGAATTCAATTGCTCTTCTCAGTGGCCACAATGTTGAGCAAAAAATCAATCTCTTATCTTAATATTTCTGCATAATTTTTTACAGAACACAAAAGCAATTTCTGTAATCACCTCAAAAATAACAAAATGATAATTTAATGTATGTAGGTATATATATACAGGTTACCTTCTACAAATTTTTAAATGAGATCAATATATATGTATCACAAGTAGCCATAAATACAGCAATATAATACTTCAAGTTGTGTACTTCAGACATGAAATCTATTTAATAATATCTATGGTATTTTATCTTTTAAAAACAGCAGTAATTGTTGTATACATGTACGTACATGTATACAATACACAATATCAGTTTAATAATGATAAACATTTAATGACCTGGTATACAACAGTATTACGACAGTATATCCGTAAATAGCTGTACGAAAATACTAACATATATTCTAGTTCTACAACTACCAGTACTGTACCATGTTATCATACAAGATCAATTTCTTGGTCCATCACTGTGCTTTAAACATGTATTTCCTTTTCATACAGAAAATCACTTATTTATTTAGCACTACCACAGTAAACAACATCTCATAATATATGGGTTTATCCTTGTAATATATTTAACTCTTTCACCCCTGAAGTTTCCTAATGAACTATTCCAACCTTTGAATCGGAAGAGTTCAAATGTGTC